ATTTCCACATTTGGTTGATTAAGTATCTGCCAATCAATTGCCATTCATCCTTTTTATTTTCTGGGAGCAATTTTACCATCATTTTTTGCATTGCACCTTTGACTGATATTTCTAAGCATTGCTATTTCCTTTTGAGTACCTCGACAAACAGAGTTGAGCCCATTGTATATCCTATAACTGATTAATGCTTGTAGGTATGGATCTATTTGAGCTTCAACAAAGCCCTATCAGAATTTTGACATTTCCTGTGCATGTCAAAGGTTCTGAATAGATACACTTCACCATTTCCTTTTATTGCAGGATAACATTTTTAGCTATTGTTTTCGGTTAATTTTCAACATATATAGATTCATCTAGGTTGACATTGACGATCAGCGATTGTGCCAACTTTATTCAGTTAAAACCTGATCTAGCCATTTGCAGTTGTGCAACTGCCGTTGATAATTTTTTTTCCTTCTTGGTATAGTCACATCATTAGTTTGTTGTATATGCATGTAGGCACTTATTATTTATCATGTGCAGATTTTATCCATTGGCATAAGTTATACTAATATCTGTTGTTTTATCCTTTGTGTTCACAAAATTTGTATTGTTGAAGATCATTTGAACTTTGAAGTCTATTGATTTTGGCGAATTCTGAATTCGAGCAAGGTTACCATTGACCATATTATTTGGATAATTTTATGGTTGTTTCTGAGATGGATTTCGTGTCCAAAAATTGTTGATCACTGATTGCCTATATATATGTGGGTGAACCAGTTTAAAGGTTAGCAAATCATATCCAAATCTCTGTCAGGTGCTATTTTGGCAATATTTCCATGTATTACATGCTCAATCATGTCAACTCACAAGACATACAAGGCAATATTGCTATATCTTTCCATAAATATCATGATAGCAACAAAGGTAACATTATCCTCCTTAGCCTATATATGAGTGGGTGAACAAGTATGAACCAAGAAAAAATACTCACCACTGATTGTCGGCTGCATAGGACTGCTGGAACTTCAACTCGTCATCTTGGTATTGTTCTCCAATCTATCTCTTTTGTGTTGGAAATTATTATACTTTAGTTTGCACCTATTGATCTCCTACTTCTTCTGTATTGTAGTAAGGCATGGCATCCATGGATGATGTGGATGATGAGGATTTTTCACCACATCAAGCCACAACTAAGGAGTCAATGAACTCTAAGGATGATGTGAAGGTGCAACCTTCATCAAGGCAAACAGCAAACAAGGGGAATTATTACATGGCCACGTGAATGCCATCATGATGATGTTTCAGTTCATATGTGATGGCTACCAGCGTGTTGAAAGTTCCATGGAAGAATACAAGTCCAAGAAGGTAGAAAAAGGACAAGGTGAGAAAAGGAAGGTGGGCGAAGGGTATGATCCTCGCTGGTATCTCCCATCGAGAAAACAATGAAGATCTACAATGACAACGTCTCCAATGAACCCACCGAGAACGAACCATGATTTAATATTGTTGCTATTGTGTTTTGACCTTAGAATAATATAACATTTCTTGTGAATTACATGAGAAAATTCATTAAACAATGTCGTTCAGGCCTATTCAATACTGCTTGTGAAATGCACAACCAAATTCGATGAAACTTTGTTGTTATGTTGTCTATTCAGTATTGCTTGTGATTGAATCGATTTTTGGGACCTGTACAAATTTTCTGGTTGTTCATTCTGCTGAGACTGAATCAGTAATATCTGAATATTGCCTTTTTATGTGTATTGTTTTGCTGAAACTGAATGTGAATCAATTACTGTGACTTTTTGACAGTATGATAATATGATCCAAATTGTAATTCAATTCACCTCAGTTGTACTATGTGATGAGTTTTCTGTACACATCCACATGCAAAACAATATGCATATGTTTTCTTCCAGAATACATTCTGAACATCTCCCAAATTGCTTTCTGAACATGTCTTTACATGTTAAAAGATAGGAGCATTTGGTTAATTGTTGTGTACACTGGTGGAGAAGTGCTTTTTAGTCCCGGTTCGTAACCCCCCTGTAGTCCCGGTTTTCAAACCGGGACTACCAATCCGGGACTAAAGATCGTTATCTTTAGTCCCGGTTCAAATACCCGGGACTAAAGATCGATCTTTAGTCCCGGTTGGTGTTACCAACCGGGACTAAAGAGAGGGGATCTTTAGTCCCGGTTGGTAACACCAACCGAGACCAAAGAGAGGTAGCGGCGGTGAGATGGTCCTTTTCTTTCTTTTTCTTTTTTATTTTCTCTCGAATCAAGTGGGATACATATCCCAAATCAAACCCCAAATACCCAAATCAAACCCAAACCAAAGTAACATCACAAATCTTATACATCACAGATCCATACAAATGTACAATGAATCACAATATTGTCCATACAAAAGTACATCACAGTGAATCACAAATAAAAAAACAATGTTGACTGCCGCTGTCGCCGGCCGCCGGCCACGGCCCCATCGGCCGCCGTCGCACGGCCGCCTGCCGCGCGGCCGCCGCACGGCCGCGGCCCCACCTACCGCCGCCCACGGCCGCCTCGCTCCGCTGCCGCCGCACGGCCGCCTGCCGCGCAGCTGCCTCGCTCCGCCGCCGCCGCGCGGCCGCCTCGCTCCACCGCCGCCACACAGCCGCGGCCCCACCAGCCGCCGCCGCGCAGTCGCCTCGCTCCGTCGCCGCCACCTCGTTCCGTCGCCGCCGCCCGGCCGCAGTAGAGAGGGGAAGGAGGAGGAGGAGGCGGGGATAGAAAGGGGGAGCAGAGAGGGGAAGGAGGAAGGGGAAGGGCCAGGGGAGGAAGGGGATATCGAGGAGGCGCTGGAGGCGGATACCGAGAGACTTAAAGAGGAGAGAAAAAAAAGGGGACTTAAAGGCGCGGATAGCATGGGAATCTTTACTCCCGGTTGGTATTACCAACCGGGACTAAAAATACATCTTTAGTCCCGGTTGTTAACTCCAACCGGGAGTAAAGCTTATGTTGATCTTTTTTCCTGGTTGGTAACACCAACCGGGACTAAAGATATCTTTAGTCCCGGTTGGTGTTACCAACCGGGACTAAAGATCTCGGGGGGCTGACAAGGCCTGACAGATTTAGAACCGGGACTAAAATCATTTTTAGTCCCGGTTGGTAACACCAACCGGGACTAAAGATCAAATATACCCGCTGTAGCCACCAACCGGGACTAAAGATCATTTTTAGTCCCGGTTTTTAGTGGAACCGAGACTATTGTGGATTTCGGGCGACCGACCAAAGACGGTTTCTCCACCAGTGGTATTATGTCACTCACAAAGAAAAAAGATGCGCATGAGATGAATAAATATTTTATATCAAAACCGTTGTGAAATGTTATGTGTGTCATAGTGAAATAAAAAACGACAGTTCCTTCCATAAAAAAAATATAGGTGCACGATAATTTATATAACTACACGTCTCTAAATACAATATAGACGTATAAAAAAAATACTATCTACCAATAGTGATCTTAAAAGATAAGAAAAAAATTATAGAATTATTTTCTTTTTCTTCTCAGTCCCTCCCATAGGTGCATTTCTTAACAAAATAACAAATAATAGAATGACTCTATACTTCTTTAACATATTTTCATGCGTATATTTTCCTTTTATATTGTATACTTAATTGCTTATATATAATTAAGTCTTGCAAAGTTTTATTGTGCCCACGTAATATCATAATATTGCACTTTATATAAAATATATTTTATACACGATATGAATTTAATTAAAGTTTAAATGCACAAATCATATAAAAATATTATTTTGGTAACATGAAATTTTAAAAAATAATTAAAGACATATAGAATTGCACCGTAGCGTTTAGCACGGGCATATTACTAGTACTGAAGTTGCACTTTTATATACCGAAAGTCGCACGTCTTTCAACAAATTTATTTACAGAGAGCTATACAACATTTTGATAGAAAATCTAACAAAAATGTTTTTCCTAGAATTTATATCGAAATAAATATAGCATGCCACTTGCACAAATGTAAGAGCAAAATCTGACGGATTTTTCCAAGAAAATATGTCGAAAGAAAGATAGCGTATAAGAGCAAATATAAGGGTACATTATCTGACAGATTCTTTCACAAGAATTTTTGTCACAAGAAATATAGCAATTCTGATTTATTTAAGGTACCCATTATTATAATCTCCAATGAAACGTTGCCATAAAAAACTGGGTAATCAATTCTCAAAAAAAAAAAACTGGGTAATCGTGCTTGAAAAGAAAAGCATCACACGTTTCCAAAACAACATAAAAAAACCCTATAGCGCCATTGTTACACAGGCTGCGTTCTTTCTTCTTCTCAACAGTGATTACGGAAAACGGAGCGATCCATTAGCACATGATTAATTAAGTATCTGCTATTCTTTTTTAAAAAAATGGACTAATATGATTTTTTTAAGTAACTTTCGTATAGAAACTTTTTACAGAAAAATGCACCGTTTAGTAGTTTGAAAAGCGTGCTAACGGAAAACGAGGAGGACTACCCTGAAAAGAACGCAGCCACAGTAGTGCTGGTACAGCTGGGCCGCCGCCGCAGCAAAGCTGGCCCCACTCCCCTCCCATCTCCTCAACCCCAACCTTCAGGTACGACCAAAAAAAGATCTCGCTTTCTTTCTTGTCTCACAAGCCAAAAGACCCGTCTCGCGAACATCGCGCCGTCCACGTGGACAGCCTCGGACAAGGTGCACCGCTCGATCGTGTCCAAGGTGTGAACGCGTTCGCCGCGACTGAACAAGGAAGGAAATGAAACGCAGTTATTACGCAGTACGAAACTGTCATTTGTCTGTCTTGCTGATCTCCCCCTGTAAAACATTTAATTGTTAATCGTATCCCTACCCAACATTCCAGAGTCAAATCTCCGGGGTTTAAAAGCAAATCGGTCAACCTATGAGGGGTTAAAGTGGAAAAGCTCCACGGCCCACGCAGACAAAATTCTCTCTCTCCTCTCCTGTGGTTTTGTTTATAATTAGGCTTTTCTCCGGGAGGCCAGGAGGCACGTCGCCCTCGTCCGCCGCCGCGTGTTCGCAAGCGAGCAAACCGCTCCTCCTCCGCCGCCGCCTCCGCGCCTCGCCTCGTCTCCTCCTCCTCCTCCTCCCTGCTCCGTCCCACACCACCCGTAGTAGGGGCCGTGGCCGGATCGCAATGTCGGCGTCGGGGGGATTGAGCTTGGTGCGCCGCGCCGTCGAGGCCGCGCGCCGCACGCCGCGGTGGCAGAAGAGGCTCCTCGTCCTCACCGCCGGGTACGTTTCCGCCTCTCCCCCTCATGCTCCGCGCGCCCCTGATATACACCTCACCCCCGTTGATCGATCTAGTTATACGCGTGCGCAACCGTGTCCTTGCGCTGGATATGGTGCGTTGGGCCGCCGTACGTGCGCGCGTCCGCGCTTTGGTTTGATTGCCGAACTTTGATACACCGTGTAAATGTTTTCGTCGCGATTTTGCGCTAGTTCTATCAAGGCGGCTGTATAAACATGAGAGTAGTTAAAGCCTTTCCTCCAAAACATGAGATTAGTTTAATCGGGGATGTTCTTTTCAATGGATTTTTTTTTTCGGTTTAAGAATTAAGTCGGTGGTGATCTGTCAACCTGCAACTTTTCTTTTGCCCCTGAAGTCCGTAGCCCGACGCTTACTTTACACCTAGCCCAACACTTAAACACCGCACTACGTTGTTTATTAAGATTTGGGTGAAAAAGTTGTTCAGAAGTTCGATCATTTATTGGTAAAATTACTCATAGATCTAACAAATCTGGTTCACGTTTATATTCATAATTGGTTATGGTGAAATCTAAAAAATATTATCTATGTCATCTTGACACTTGAAAAAGAATGTGATTGTGATGTGAAAGTGAAACAACAAATTATTTGAAGTGTGCTGGAACCATGGTGCCTACTTGGCCAATCGTCTAAATCGGATTGTATTATTCTTGTTCATTGACATTGTAATATTGAAATCACCGCCTCACGATTCTAGGGAGACGAGTATGTATTGTGTCACCAAAAGTCCAAAACATGTCCTACTTGTTTATTTAACGTCATAAATAATAAATAATAATATATTCGTCCAATAAAAAGTCCAATCCTGAAGATGTATTTAGACACGCACGTTGTCCTGGTACATCTTCAGATATATTGGGGTTTTGTGGGACAGAGGAGTGGGCATTTAAGCAGATTGTATTCTCACCCTTTTGCTTAAGAGAATGTGCTATAGCTATTAATCCATGATGCTAGACATGTTTGTCCCAGATAGATTCATGGTGATGGTTTGTCCTTCATATTTCTTATTGTAACCCGGGATCATATTGGAATTGTGCACAGCAGATACTGTTCATGATATTGTTTGATCACAAAAGTGAAATAACATTTGTATTGCCAGATTTCTGTTTTTGGGCCATGTAGCAAAATCTTGTAAGCGTCTCAAGCAATTTTAGTGAATACTTCTCTTGTGGTTCTTTCTGTTTTGAAAGTGAAGAAGACTAGCAGCAGAGGTGTGCTATTCATTATAGCTGGAAGAAATTTTTATTTACATGTTCTGTTATGGCTCTGATAAGTTCATTAGTTGGTATTCATTGGCAAATCAAAAACTAGTAAATGCAACTTAAAACTCACTGAGATGGCAAATGCACTCTTAATATTAGTTTTCATAATATTTTATATTGTATATATTTCAGGACTCTGAGTCTCTCCTCTCACACACCTTTTATTCAAATATCTTTGCAGTGTTGGTTCTTTGACTTATGCTTGCCAGGATAATCAAGTACTTCAAATAAATGATGGAACTGGCAAGAAGAGGGTGGTTATCGTTGGAACTGGTTGGGCAGGCGCAAGTTTCTTGAGAAATATTGACACTTCCTTGTACGATGTTCATGTCGTATCACCTCGCAACTATTTTACCTTCACACCTTTGTTGCCTAGTGTGACATGTGGCACAGTTGAAGCACGTAGTATTGTAGAGCCTATCCGTAATATTGTGAGAAAGGTAAGACCTTACTGAATTAATAATCAATTAGCTATATTATTGATATATTGCATCATTTTGTAATGCAAGAATTCTCACAAATATTACATGTACATTATTTCCAGAGAGGCGGCGCATTTAGATTTTGGGAAGCAGAGTGCTACAAGATTGATCCAACTAACAAAAAGATCCACTGCAGATCAGACTCAGATGGAAATAGTGAATTTGTTGTAGATTATGATTACCTGGTCGTCAGTGTTGGAGCTAGACCTAATACATTCAATACCCCTGGTGTTGTTGAAAACTGCCATTTTCTAAAGGTCAGTACTAATAAGGCAGTAGGTTAATGAAAGAAATTAACTGTTGTAACAAAACTCGGTTTTATTTTATCATCTTATCAGTTACGACTCTTTCAGCTTATCTCTTGGTCAATGTCTGAATTACCTTCAGCAAACTTGCTTTTACATCTTTACATATACTTGTTCTTTGTCAAACAAAGAATATCCTTGTTCCATCTTTCGTCATAACTTCTTTTTCTTTAGTATGTTATATCCATTATGTTGTTCAATTTTGCAACATATTTTGCATGGTGAATTGAATCGTCATGTGCATTCTGTCAGGAAGTAGAAGATGCTCAAAAAATTAGGAAGAGTGTCCTGAAATGTTTCGAAAGAGCGTCCCTTCCAAACCTAACTGAGGAAGAGAGGAAGAAGAATCTTCATTTTGTTGTTATTGGTGGTGGCCCAACAGGTGTAGAATTTGCTGCAGAGCTTCATGACTTTGTCAATGAGGACTTGGCAAAGTTGTATCCTGATGTGAAGAAGTATGCGAATATTTCAGTAATTGAAGCTGGAGATCATATCCTTACAATGTAAGACCTTGAGATCTGTTGTACTTGTTGAACCATTGCAAAATATTCACATTTTTAGTTTTATGTTAGTAATTTTGAACCTTCACCCTTTTAGTTTTACCGATCAGAAGCATTTTAGTTGATAATTACATATGTAGGAGGCCTTCAAATTTCAGAAAATTCTGTTTCTTGATGCAGTTTTATGATATTCTTTGCAAAAAAAAGTTTTAATGTTCTATATATGCAGGTTTGACAAGAGAATTACCCAATTTGCTGAAGATAAATTCAAGAGGACAGGCATAGATTTGAAGACGAATTTTAAGGTTGTGAAGGTGTCTGATAAGGCTATCACTATGACTAATTCTGCAACTGGAGAGATTGCTGTGCCTTATGGCATGGCTGTTTGGTCCACTGGTATTGGAACCCGTCCCCTCATAATGGATTTCATGAAGCAAGTTGGTCAGGTATATCTCGTACAGAACTCATAAGAGAATACATTTCAACATATTACACTAAATTATGTTTTTAAAACACTTATTTAATTTATAGGCAAACCGACGAGTGCTAGCTACTGATGAATGGCTCAGGGTTCATGGATGTGATGATGTATATGCTCTCGGTGATTGCGCGACAATAACTCAAAGAAAAGTTATGGTATGTGTGTACTTCTCAATGCAAAGATACCATATTTTTTGTTCAAGTAAAGAATGCACCATATTTTGTCATTGGCAAGAACATCTCGATATGTTATGGTATAATTATAATTTAACATGTTTCATCGCCTGCTCTCTAGAATACTAAGCTAGCATAATTGAATTTCAAATAGTGGCCTATGTACAGCAATTAGCCCTTTTCAGTGTTAAGTTGCCAGTTAATTATATCTAAGTCTTTGTTTTGATAATAAGTTCATATGATTAAATATAAAAAATTACAAATGCTGAAATTATTATGGTTTAAAGACTGCAACTTTGTGTGAAGCTGTTTAGCCATCTCAAACATATCACTATTATAGTTATAAAGATTTACACCGTGGTGTTCCTTTCTGAACCAACTTCAAAATTTTTGGAGGATGTTTTCAGTTCCTACTTCAAATTCTTTTTGTGAGAAAGGCAAGATTGACATGATCTAGCATCTACCTGTTGTAGTGTTAATGCCATCTTAACATAAATGCTAGTAATTGTTTAGCAAACAAATTTCATGTATTGTCAACTACTTTTGTTTATGAATTTCTGACATTCTTAATGGATTGTGTTGATATGTATATTCAGGAAGATATTGCTTCAATTTTCCGGGTAGCAGACAAGGACAATTCTGGCTCTTTGACTGTCAAGAAAATTAAAAATGTTCTTGGCGACATCTATGAAAGGTACCCACAGGTTGAGTTGTACCTTAAAACTAACCAAATGAAGGACTTCCATGACCTACTCAAAGATTCAGACGGGAATGCTATTAAGGAGTCAAAAGAGCTGAACATAGAGGAATTCAAGAAAGCCCTTGCTCGAGTGGACTCGCAAGTTAAGATGCTCCCAGCAACAGCTCAGGTAATTATTCATGTCTACCATTAGAGAGTTTGCACTTTGCACATAGGGAAAGAAATCTGTTGCAATATATGTCAAATTGATGTGTCCTTAAATATCTACAAACCATTATATGTTTTCCAAATGAGATTGGGTATATTTGTAGTCTTTATGTGCCAAATTAAATTGTTGACCCAAACACAAAGAACCATCTTACTAATTGGTTGTATGGATGTATATAGTTCCTTGGTTTTGTCACATATGGTGGATGAGGTAATTTCTTGATCTTAGTGACAAAAAAAGTGCCTTAGACTTCTGAATGGAGGGAGTAAATTTTTGTGGTTTTGTCACATGGTGGATGAGGTAATTTCTTGATCTTAGTGACAAAAAAAGTGGCTTAGACTTTTGAATGGAGGGAGTAAATTTTTGTTTGGCATTTTATATGTCAAATTGATGTGTCCTTGAATATCTACAAACCGTTTCATGTATTCTGAATTTTCGTTTGGCACTTCAGGTTGCTTCACAAGAGGGAGCCTATCTGGCAAACTGCTTCAACAAGATGAAATACTGTGAAGAGAACCCTGAAGGTCCGTTGAGGATCAGAGGCACAGGGCGTCATCGGTTCAAACCTTTCAGGTTTGTTTTCCCTTGCTCTCTTAGCATACATACATTAGGCACTTAAACACTGCTGACCATGTTGATATGGATTTACGGATGAACTTTTTTTGTTTATGACTCCAATCAACTATGCCAAGAAATCGACAACACCAATAAATTAGTCATCTAACTGGTTGGTAGCTAAAAACAATTGGCATTGCCAAACCAAAGTTGGTGGAGCAAACCAAACAAAAGCCTACCAATCTTGTCACATATTGCTGATACACGAGATTTCTTTTGCATGGCATCCAGAATACAGCAGTCCCTAATGGTCGCCCTTTATGATTTACAGGTACAGGCACCTTGGCCAGTTTGCTCCACTGGGTGGAGAGCAAACAGCCGCTCAATTGCCGGGTGATTGGATACATGTTGGTCACAGCACCCAATGGCTATGGTATTCTGTCTATGCCAGGTATTAATAATGCCACCCTACTGAACATGCTTGTCTTCCTTTCTGCACTTCATCTTCCCTCGCATGTATGGACGTGTCGTGTAGAGTTTTTAATGGCGTTTTGCTCTTATGGAATGCAGTAAGCAATTCAGCTGGCGCACCAGGATGCTGGTAGTATCTGATTGGGGCAGGCGGTTCATCTATGGAAGGGACTCAAGCAGCCTATAAATTGAACTAGGATGGTGTTGTTCACCGCCCTGCATTTTGCCAACTGAAGCTCTATTAGACTTGGATAATACAATTTTTGCATACCTTCGGAAACAACTATTTTTGCATACAGCATCATTTTTTTTAGAGAGAGAGAGCATCGTTATATTTGTTCGGCTATTTTCACAAGCTCAGGTTTCTGTAGCGTAGCAAGGTTTTGTCACCAATTTTTGATCTTGCCGATATTTCTATGACACAATGGAGGTTAAATGATTTATACATCAGTACTTTATAATACAGTTCAGTATCCTAGTAATTTAAATGTTGATGTTATGTGTTTTTTTTACCTCGTCCTTCTCTTCTAGCGAGATGACGCTAACCACAGATTCAATTCCCTGTGGAGGCCTTCCTTTAGTTGTTTAGGAAGATTACCGTTAATTATCTTCTTGAATTGTTGCTGATGGAGATAATAAAAGCAGAACAGAGCCTAGTTCCGCCTTTCTCATCCATTCCAATTTCCTGATAAAGTGAACGTACATCAGTACCATTTGAAGGATACGTGCATCAGCAAAATAATGAAATTCTTGAACCAATAAATATTCCCAAATCGAAATTTGAATCCTAATCCTCGTCCAAAAAAAAAGAAAAAAGAATCCCAACATCCGGTTTTGAGCAAAAAAGCAACAGAATTTTGATCTGTTTCCAATGAAAACCTGTTTGAGCAGAAATTTGGAAACCGATGAAAACGTGAGAACAAAGATGGCAAACCAGTTTGAGTGGAAAACCAATCGGTGCAGTAAAATCGACGAAATCAAACAATATCCCAGAACATCTATAGGCTCAACAAACGTATATTACAAATCGACGAAAAAAGAAAGAAACCAAGCGCATGTGCAAGCCCCAGAAGCTACAAGCTGTGAGATACCCCGAACTCAAAGAATAATTAACCCAAAGAATAATTAAATTATTTACCACTGGACCCATATATCATAGACAACGAATGACAGATAATTAATTGCCACGTAACCCAAAGGTACAAGTGCGGTGTAACGTTGGTGTGCAAGCCCCAGAACAAGCAGCGAGACACCGCACGGTGCTACCCGTGGACCGGATCTGGATCGATCGTTGCAGGAAGGAGGAAACGGCCGAGCAGCAGACAGCATGCAGCATCTAGCGCGCCACTTGTAATACTCTGCGGTGCGCGCTGTCTGGCCACGGGAGAACTCCACTGCCGCTGGCTTGTGCTACTAGTTTGTACAGTACATGCTCCAAAACCGTCACATGGCGGGGGCACGCGCCGCTCGGCGTAAGTAGCAAACGAGCAGTCGACACAGCGACATGTATGAGTAGTCGACCGGTGGCCCAGCTCTGCGGGACGGGGACGGGACGGTGGATTTTACGGCAAAAGCGACGGGGAGATGGCCCCCGCGCGCGCGGCCCCACCGCCGTCTGGCCCGCCCGGTTGGTTCTCCAATCTCGAGCGAGCGTACCTGGACCAACCACCACCATACAGTGACGATGCACGCAGCACGCTACAACCAACGTCGTTTCGATTCGGTGCATAGCTGAATCTGAATCTGGAATCAATATGCTGGATCCACACTCCACAGAGGACGGGACGATTACATGCCCGGGGTCCTCACTCGTCAATAATGCCGATTGATGCATGTGTGTGCTGGTGTGGTTTTTTGGTTTTCATGTAGCGTCGCATCGTCCTTTTGCTATCGATCATTAATTGTACTCTCTCACTGCTATGCTATGCATCCTGGTCTTTTCCTTTTCCGAACAGGAGTTCGTGGCCATGGACCCCTTGCTTTGCCTTTCCAAATGATCAAAGCTCGTACTGAAGAAATCTCGTGATAATTAGATCTTTTTGTTGATGCTGTTTTAATGATTATTGTCGAAACATGAATTCGGCAATAATAAAAGGGGTAGCGCACGAGACCTAAAAGTGGATGGATGCAGAGACAAAGGATTTAGACAGGTTCAGGCCCTCTCGATGAGAGGTAATACCCTACTCCTGTTTGGGGATTTGAATCCGCCGAGTGTGTATTGATCTGACGATCAGGTTGTCTCATGCCCCCTAGAGGGCCTCCTGCCCACCTTATATAGGATGGGGGGCAGGATTACAAGATAGAAACCTTAACCCATACGGTATCGGTTTCCTAAATCTATTTTACAATATTATCAAATCAGGACTTTAGGCCGCTTCATAATATAAAAGGAAACGTAATACCCAAGTCATGATCGGTTACATATTCCATAGATATAAGCTATCCCCTATGACTAGTCGGATAACCATGCCGTGTGGGTATGGGGTACCCATAATCTCCACAGTAGCCCCTGAGACCTTCACAGTCGGAAAGATAATCTTCTCTCGAACTAGATTACTCCAAAGCCGAGTGCTTCAATCATCCTCGCCATGATCTCCCGAGTACTTTTACCAAATATGAAGACTGTGGAGGGCTGAAAAATAAAGTCAGGTGCATCGAGTAGATGTACCTAATAGATGCACCAACTGAGTGGTTTTGATAATCGTAGTCAAACAAGTGACTTAATATTAATATATAGCATATGCGGTGTGAATCCCTGAATAACATGATCCGAGTGATATACCGACTGCTTTGTAAAATATGATGCGTGCAACCTAAAGCTGACTACATCATTGAAAATTCACATAGCAAAATAGCTATAAAGAAGCTTGTATGTTGTGAATAAAGAAATTTCCAAAGTATTGGGCATACGCCATGCGCACACTGCTTTAACAGATGTGCTTAAGTCCCTAGAAGACACATGGTCCCACCACACCTGGAAATATATGGCATATGTGGTATAAAATCCGAGTAAATAAACTCATAAAGGATTTACCAACCGCCTGAAAAATGACCACAATATATAATCAGCCTAAGCCATAATATTGGTCAATAAAAATGCACACTTACGTGGCAAAAAGCAATGATATTGTATCCAATCAATTGCTTAAAAACCCAAACAGCACCATGACTATATAAAAAAGTCAGCGGGCCAGCTATATAAAGCTTTACTGTTTGACACCTTTTAAGATGCATTGTACCAACTCCTAAAAAGTTGAGTAACTGCGGTATAAAAGGATTTTAAGGTATTGGGCACTTGATTACGCGCACTTTGGCCTAAGCGAAAAGTGCCTAAGTCCCTAAAAGAACGTGACAGGCCACACCTGAAAATATGGGCTGCAGACATATTAGGCCTAGGCCAAAAAATATGCCTTCGACACCATTTAAAGGATGACGCATGTAACATGCTCCCGAGTAATAAATCTTCCGGGTAATATAGACCAAGTGTAGCTCATATGAATAGCTTCTGATCTGAATGATTATCCCTTATGGGATACTCCAAAATAAATATAATAATTGAATCCCGACTGGCGCAAGTATTCGGTTGATAGCCCTTACGGGGAATAATAATTGGTCCAGTCTTTGAGCATAGAAAATAGACTCATGACTATGAATCCATGTGGAATGTATCCGGAACAAGTCCAAATTGGAGATATAATCCTCACGCTTGAGTTGATGAGCCCCTGAGCATATAGCTTGTCCTTCTGTCATAGTCAAAATTGTCTATTGGCAATAACTGACGCAGTCGGCATGGAGATGAAATGACCAACATGAAGACGAAATTGCTCATCAGAAGTAACGGAAGATGTCAGTGGTAGTAAAGATGCCACCAATCAAATGTAATGAAGTTGCATAACCATGGAGGTGAAGAAACCAGTCGGCAACAGTCAGGTCAGCTAGCAGTGAAGATGTAGGCGCCCAACAACAACGAAAGAACAGTCGGTGGTGACAAAAGCAAACCAACGATGAAGACGTAGACGCGCATCAACGGTGATGGCGAAATCCACCAATTATGAAGATGAAGAAAATAGTCGGCAATGGCAAACGCATCCGACGGTAATGATGATTAGCGGCAACAGAGATAGCCGGCTATGATGACGAAGTTGCCCATCAACGACAGCAGAGTAGGCTATGTTGAAGAGACTTGACAGGATGTTTGATGAAGATAACCATGTCGTTGATCTAGTCAATAGTAGTGTAGCAGTCCATGATAACGATGAGATCCTCTATCGGCAGTTGCATAGTAGGCCAACCGTGAAGACGAAATAACAAGTCGGCGATGAAAGTCGGTGATGACAAAAGTAACCGACGGTGAGGACGTAGTCACCCCTTAGCAACGGCGGAGACGTCAGGGCCGATGAAGTAAACGTGCTGGTGATAATGCCAGTGACAACAATCCATCAAACCATTGAGAAGATATCGAAGCTTGAGAAGTTTCCTTGATGTGAGCGTGTGCATAAAGAAAACTAATGCAATGCTTCTTGATTTACGAAGATGACTGTAGAACTTAGTGTTACAGCTGTTGTAGATGCTTCACTTGGAGGAAAGTAGATGTTGTTGTCCAACTCGTCTAAACCGAGCTGATTGGTTGATAACTCCAAACTTCCGAACATGTAGATTAAATCTTGAACTTGATACTTGAGAATTTTGGAGTAGATTATGGCAGCGCTGAGAAGCCAAAATTGTCGGTGAAATAATTGAAGTTGCTGAAGTAGAACATCTGCTCCGAAGCAAAGATGAAGATAATGACTCCTGGAGTTGACTCATTGGCTGATTAATTGATTTTGAGCCTTATATTTGTGTAGCCCCCGACTCTTTGGTTAGTTGAGAAACAACTGAACATAGAGTCGAGAATTATAGCTTCTTGTCGTCGAGTAGTCATTGCTTGATTGAAGATATGTGTTGAAGGTGTCCAAGTAGAAATCCGGTAGTGAAGACGCGTAGTTGTGAAGATAAAAGCACCAATCGGCGGCAGCATAATCAGTCGGCGACGGAAGATGATGATGTCCATCAGTAGTGGTAGCTGTATAAACCAGACGTAGAGGTAAGGGCACTAGTCAGCAGCAGACGAGACGACCGGCGATGAAGATGTAGATGCCCAACAACAGCGGCATAATAGGCCAATCAACACTGGCAGAATCATGCAGCCATGGAAGTGAAGAAATCAGTCGGCAGCCATGGCAAACGTAGGCAGCTTGTGTTGACGATACTGATGCCTATTAGTAGTGACAGCGATGTAGCCAGCCGTGAAGAAGGTAGCATCAGTTGGCGTTATAACAGGCCAGCCGTGCAGGCGGTGACACCAGTCAGCGGATGCGGCGGCCGGTCGGTGAAGACGTAGACGCCCAACAACGGCAGCATAATAAGTCTGCCGTGCAGGCGGAAGCACCAATCGGTAGCGGCGAAGGCAAGCCGGTCGGTGAAGACGTAGACGCCCAACAACGGCGGCATAAAGGCCAGCCGTGCAGGCGAG